AAGCTCCTTAATTCAGACTTCGCCAGCAAATTGCCCGCAGACAAAGGTCGCCAGTTCGTACTACAAACTGTGGATGCGCTGAGGAAGTCCAAAGTGTGGTCAAACGATCTCCTGGATCGATTTGCCGAAGTTTTGGCGCAGCTATGGAAGGAGAGTTCTCGTGGACGCAGCCTACACAGCCTCTCACAATCACCGTCTCTCAGCAATTCAGGGATGAATTCCATGTTCAACCACCACAACCAGCAGCAGCATCAGCAACAGAGCCAAAGACGAGGTAGTATCGGTATGCTAGATGATCCTCTTGGTCTCATCATTCGCAGTCGCATGAGCATGAGTGTGGTGTTCGATTGCGCATGGCGCTGGCGAGAGGCGCAGGTCAGCGGTGCTGCGGAACAACTCGAAAATACGGTTATGACGAACCCCACCAACCCAGACTCATCTAGTAACTCTACACCACCCCCTGGCGTCGTTGAGAACCCAGCCCATACCCTTCCGAACTTCAATCCGCACGTCAACACTTTAAGTATGCCTCTTCAGCTGACAAACGGCATGGCTAGCGCGAACAGTTTCGAGATGTTCGATTCTGTATCGTGGTTGTTGGATACCCAGCCAGATTGGACGTACGGTAGCGGTAATTTTGGAAACGACTTTGGTGTCTAAACGGCTCAAAGTTGTCAGTTTCTGTCGGGTAAACCGCGATCATTTCAATCTTCTTAGTGCTATTGGGATAGGCCATTGTCCAGTTTGCAATTTGCCGTTGTATTAGCGTGGCGTTTGGGAGTCCTCCGTAGAGATCTTACTATCACTATTAACTTTTGTTGCTTTTTGCCAATCTCCGGTACGCCTGGAAAGGTATCCTACAAGTATTCGCTATGACTTTTAGCAAGAGAGTAAAAATTGTGACCTACATATTTCCCAGCGTATATTCTTAATGTTAGACACGGTTCCGTTTTTCCATCTTCATCGTAATACTTTATACAATGAGGTTTATTATTTTCGATAGAATAACTGACATAGATTGCATCCTCAAGGCAAACATGGGATACCCTGTCATGTCGTAACTCCCTCAGCATACTCCACTTGCAATTTCTTCGACATTCCGTAGCAACTACGGACGACCGCTTATCTCAGAACAGCGTCTTACCTACCGCATTATCATATCCTCGCCATACACCTGTGCAGTCCTTCATCCACAAGACCGAACCTTCATACAATCATGTCCTCCACGTCGTCTCCTCCATTCTCTGCTGTCACTACTCCTCACAAGCACCAACTCCATGCCCTGAAGGCCCACATCATAATCCACATGCTTGTACTCAGCACCGTCGTTTTCCTTGTCATGCAGCTCATATCGCACACAGCTGCCATAGGAGATATCGGGTCTTATGTAATGCCGTGGGCTTGGGAAGAGGCGTTCCTTGGACAATTGTTCGATAACACAGATATGTTCAGGTGGATAGCTGTCTATCTGTTTGTGAGTCTGCGAGCATGTTGGGTAACGGAATGGAGAGTAAAGCCTGCAATAAGATGAGAGTGGGAGACTGGATGCTCAGAGACTATGGGTGTTGACATCTCGATAGGTATCGCTCGATGGGTTGCATGCACTGTTATGCATAGGGTGGTATGCTGACCAGTTACACCCGGTACGAAGGAGAAGGGATGTGGGGAGGAGGCGCAGGGCTACCAAAACATGGTTGAAAAGTACACAGCAGAACATTGAAGCATGGCGGCAACGACATCTTGGATCGTTTGGAACAAGAAGTGGGAAAGAAGATCCGCGAAAACCCACACACGATACGGAACGCCGTTCAGCGACACCACAGCATGTACCCAAAAACCGCACATCTGTGAACTGGATAGAGAGCTTGGACAACACGCCATCACCACCTTGTCCCCTCGATCCACACACATACCATCCCCTCCTACGTCCAACCTATACATCCCTAACCCGCCATATCCTCCTTGCCGTTTGGGATGTAATCGTGCTCTTGACCGTCACTTTTCATGTCTACACTTATGCGGCAAATATTCGCCCCAGCTTCGCTTTTTGCGATGAGCACGATTACCCTCTCTGGCATTTCTATGACCAGCCAGCTACATTGCAGCAGCGCTGTACCCGCATCAATTGGCGTATACACAGCGCTGGGGGTTGTTCGGCAACTGGCGCAGTGATACTCGCTTTGTGGCATTTCTGCGCACTCATGAGCAGGATATGGGCCGTTCTAGACGAGAGACTTTTGAGAAGGCTGGAGGAGAAGACATTGAAGGATTTCAAATCCAAGTTACGTGCGAGAAGGGAAGGTGATAATGATGTGGATTTTGGTATGGCGGGTTGGCAATGTCCACCAAGAGATGTGGACGTAAGGTCAAGGTCGGCTAGGAGAAGTGTTGAGTCAGAGACTTTGACTGGAACAGAAGTGACATCGAGGCATCTACCCACTGTGAGCCAAGAGGAGTTGGGGATTGGGTTAGGGCGGAGAAGAAAGTGGGGAAGGGAAAGAAACAATGATACAAGTAGCAATAGTGGTAGAGACAAAGATATGGGGAGTAGCAAGTGGAGCTGGAGGAGTGAGGGATTTCTAGAATGTTTGGTTTGACCGTGATTTTAGTAATATATCTTGGAAAAAAGGTGTTCTTCAAACAATATTAAGAGACAAACCAAATGGAAAGCTGGATATCAATGAATTGACGCCATAATCTCAATAGTCTATATCGACCGGTATCTCTTTAAGCCTTGATATACAAACGCCAAATTATGCCAAACAGCGCTAAAATCAATGTCCACATCCACACGACTCCCCATGTACTACACCACTGTCACCTCTCTTCTTGAAATCTCCTCCATAGCTGGCCAAATGGGTCTGGCCATCCAGTCTTTGCCCATCTTCAGGCACTTTACCCATCCAGCTGACCTCTGTGCCGTTCACGTCGAGTACCGTCAATCCAGTACCCTTTTCTCTGAGCTCCTTGGTGACTGATTCGACATCCACACCCAAATAGTCCCGCAAAAAGTCCCCGACCTCAGTGTTCTCGTGGTTGCCTACCAGTGCCATGGCAGCCTTGGGGTCAGAGGAGTAAATGTTGACGTCCGCACCGCTGTGGCCGTGGGTTGACCAGCCAGTCTGTGAACGACGGGATACCATGTCTGCGTATTGATACAAAGCTGTGGCAGGTTCGGCGACAAGGTCAGAGACTTCCTTGTCGGTGCAGTCATAGATGCCGAGACCGGATGTGATCGATTCACGCACAAAATCAGTCGTCTCATCGGCAGATGGGTCGGTAAGCAGATGCTTTGTATAATCGAGAGCGAGACGCTCAGCGGAATGAGAGGCATTTGCGAGGGGAGAGGGGTACCAGAGGTATTCGGGGTAAGACGCGTGGAGCTCTGCTGATTGTTAGCAATGGTTACTACCAAAGGGGTGGACAGAACATACGGCGAGCAGCAGCCAGACCGCCAGTCTCGTGATCCGATGTCGAGACCATGACCGTCTGCGTTTCCTCGTTCTTGATGAAATCCAGCACACTTGTAAAGGCCCTGTCGTAGGCGAGGACCTCGTGTACCTGAGCAGCAGGGTCGTTGTGGTGGCCTGCGTGGTCAATCCTGGAGCCTTCAATCATGAGGAAGAAGCCCTTGTCGCTATCCCTCGTTGCATCACTGAGCGCCTTCATGGCAGCCTCAGCCATCTCGTGCAAGCTTGGGTAGATGTCGTTCTCATTGCGGCGGTCGATCTCATACGGGATGTCAGTTTCGGCGAAGAGTCCCAACATTGGCAGGTCGAGACTAGCTCCTCCCTTCAGGCTGTCAAAGCCCGCGCGGTCAGAGATGTAGTTGAATCCATTGTTCTTGGCCAAGTCCACAATGTCCCTGTCATCCGCGCGACAGCTGGAGTCGACTGTCGAGTTGGGCAGGAAGTGGCATCGTCCGCCTCCAAACATCAGATCGACGACGCGGCCAAGTGGGTAGTCTCCGACCATCTGTTCTGCAATACGGTCCTCCTCTGATCGCATGTTGACGTGAGCCGCAAAGCAGGCGGGTGTCGCATCTGTGATCCTCGTAGTAACTACAAGACCCGTCATGTATCCAGCCTTCTTGGCCGCTTCCAGCACCGTTCCGCATGGCTCGTGGTCAGGTGTGACGGAGATGGCACCATTATAGCTCTTCTGTGCGCATGAGAATGCCGTCGCACCCGCCGCTGAATCGGTAATGAGAGACGAGGCAGAACGGGTCCGCGACTGTCCGATGAGGTGCTGATCGATAACGAGCTGCTCGTTGAAGGGCGCGCCGTTCTTGTATTGCATGAAAGATCGCGTAAGTGATAGCGAGGTAGGACCCATGCCATCCGAAACCATGAAGATGAGGTTCTTCTTTCCGCTCGCATGTGAAGTCTTGGAGTCGGAACCTGCCCGTTGGAAGATGACGGCGAGTACGATAACGGCTGCCGTTGCGATGACAGCCCAGACAAACAGACCTATCTCCCTCCAGAACTTCCAAGATCGCGGTCCTTCTTTCTCCATGCGCGCTGTTCGCTGGCCTGTGAGCAGGGCATCTTCCTCTGCTATATCGCGATCACCGCTGATGTCCGAAGACGCGCGGTTCGAGAGGAGAGGCCGGGTGCCAGACATGATCTTGGATGCAAAAAAGGGAAGCTAGTTGTGATGAAAGGCAAATGCTGTAGGCAGACTAAAAGAGTGTCGGCCTGTCTCAAAGGAACATGGCGTTGATGGTGGAGTCAAACAGTCGATCCGTCACTCACTCGGGAGGCCACGAGATGTCGCGCCGGCTGATCGTCATGAGGATGGAACGCTTGCGGGAACGTGCGTCTTGGCGCTAGGAATAGTATCATCTGAACTTGGGGCATGACTGCTCATCCAGACGCTACCAAAAGCTACTCAGTATTGCCTCACGTGGAAGTTTGCTAATGTGATGCACGTCGAGGAAATCGGTGTTTTTGGTACAGAAGGAGACTGCTCCGCCTTTCACATGTCAAGCAAAGGTAGCCTCAATCACTCTTCCATCCCCACCCCACAATCCCGTCGAACTCCATGCCCACTTCACCGTCCTCTCCAATCTCGTTTTCTACGATCCCCTTCATAGCATCACTCAACTCCTCCAAGACGCCATTCCGTTCTTTTTCCCACCATATCTTTGCCATAAATTGTAGCGGAAACTGCATGCTCTCTATGAAAACCTTGGGCGTCCCAGCACGTATGCTCTCCTTCTGCGTCGATGTGTCTGCTCGCTGTAGCCCCGCGGCTTCAAGACGTTGTGCCACGTAGGATTCGGCAGCCCAGGGTCCACAGAGTTTCTCCTGGATCTCCTTATGCGAAGGGGGATAAGGCTGCGGTGCGTCCATGAGCGCGATGCTGCGAGTGAGGAGACTATGCCAGGGCATGGCAGACCATGTCGCTACTGCTATGAAGCCACCTGGGCGTAGGAGAGAACACAAGTGCGAGAGTGTCTGTTCTGGGAGCATGTTCAGAGCGAATGTGACAAATATGTGCGTGAACGAGGACTTGGGTAGAGCCTGTGTGAAGTCGCCCTTCAAGAAAGCGTTAGTATCGGAGACAATGCTGAGGCTTGTACAAGGAAAAGGAACCTCACGTTTCCATCTACAATTTTCGTCTCCAGCCCCATCCATCCTTGCTTCTCTCCTCGCGCTCTTAAATATTCCAACATCGGCGGGCTAATATCAGCGCCTAGTACTTTCAGCTGTCCCCATCTTTCCTTCGGTATAGTGTCATAGAGTTTCTGTACTACGACTCCAGTCCCGCACGCAAAGTCGAGAACATTGGCTTCAGCTCCTGAGTCCAGATGCGCAACTATCCCGGATTGTCCGACGATGGTTTTGGCATAAGGGCCAGTAGCTTTCTCGGCGTTCTTGTACCTTTGCGCGGCTTCGGCTTCAAGAAAATTGGCCATGTTGGTGTTTGATGGTAAGAAGTTAAGTACCCGGCAGTGAAAGGTCGCAAGTGGGTGTTTGGACTCGAGGCTTGATAGAAGTTGGTGTGCTATGTGTCGAGTACTGAATATGGGCGCATGCATCTTATGTAAGTGCGATTCTTCAACATGGCTTCGTGCGGTCGCAGTCTGAGCCTTGCTGTTTAAGTCCAATGTCAGCCAGCAGACGGACGAATATCTTCGATTGTCTCACTCTTGGTTCTCGACAAATGTCTCCGAGTGGAGATCTTCATCATCTCGGAGACTTTGTGCGACAGACTATCGGAGAGTTAGAGCATCAGGCACGGATCTCTGAGTAAATGTCTGCGAAAGCGACCAGGCATCTGACACAAGTCATCTTGAGTATCTAGGGGTCAAATAGGAAGGTGTTGGTAAAAATTGTATTTGAATAGATGGGTATACCTTTCCGATCCTCTATGCAAATGCTGACAACCAGAACTCCGCGCTATGCATTTTGAGTGAAGCTCGTAAGCTTACTGTGTAGACGGCTTGACTTTGCCCGCTAAACCCTCATGGTCTCATGTGTTATGAAATGACTATATCTCCTCAGATGTGGTCTCTAGCCATTGGCCAAAATAGACGCAGGTTCTTGCTGATATCTCACCCTCATCCCCGCAAAGATCAAAGACGGGGCAGTTACCACATGGTGCATCAACAAAGCCGTTGTAGACCTTGGTGTCGGTGGCTCGTAACACCGTTCGATAATTGGTACCAGATATCTTTTCGAGCCGGTCGTTAAGTACCATCATCTCCAACAATTGTTCCATGTCGTCCTCACGTACAGTCTTGCCGCGCAAAATCTCCTTTGAGTTAAGCCATTGGGCTACAGAGGCAGCTGTTGGGTACTGCGGGTTGTGTCGATGAACGAGCTTGGATGTGTTTGGGTCTCTAGATGGGTTGTAGGGCTTCACGGCGGGCGCTTCCTCTATATCCCGTACGGCTCCCAATACTTCGGCCTTCTTTTGGGCGATAGCGGCCGTCCTGTCGCCTGTTATCTCATAGTCGTTCCAATTTCCTGGTACCCTGATGCAAGTCTCGTTCTCCACATGCTGGGCGACGATGCCCGATATTGTGTCGATCAGCGCAGTGTCAAAGTCACCCTCGGATTGCCATGGTCCACCTGCAATATCTTCGGATGGCTTCAGATGCTTCAACAGGTACATTTTCCTATTCGGAAACTTGACACTCATGACTGACTGCACCAAGTCCTTCGATTCCAAGCTTTTGAGGCATTTTGTAAGGGTCTGTTGAGTGACGTTGGTTTTGGCTCGGAGGGCTTTGGACCAGATGCCGTCAGCCTGCACTTGATCGATGTGGTGGTAGAGGAGACGCTCGTCGGGTGTAAGTCGTCGCAGTCTGGAGGACACATGCTCGTCAGAAGAATTCAGGTACGCCAAATTGTACAGAATTACACATACTTGTCGGCGTCTTCTCTTGACCGTAGCTTCCAGCATGGGTCGCCCTCAAATGTCATAAGCTTCAAGAGATGTCGGTCACATAGCTCTTGCAACAGCACTGTTAGCTGCGCCATAGTCTCAGCCACCTGCATGTTTGAGAGATCGCGCTGGAAGAAAATCTGGCCCGCAGGCCGCTGCGCGCATTTCTCGTAGAGGGCATCAGCGGGGCTGACAACTTCGTTGACGGCCGTCTCCACGGGTTCCTCTTTCGGTGCTGGCGATGGTGCGGCTACTGAAGCCATGGTGTGCGTTGTTCGGCGAACGCGGTGTCGGCGGTGGATTATACGAGTATCGCAAGTTGTCGCGAGTGAGCTCAAGTCGCGACATGTGAATCACCAAAAGTTTTGAGTGGGGACCCCGACCAAGAACGCCCAATTACGCTTCTGTGGCGCAACTATCCGCTAATGGTACCCCATCACCAAAGCTTACTCCCAGTCACGACTCCTACGTGTTTGTGGCTCCAGGATCATCGCAGCCCTACGCCTCTCATGGCTTGTCCTCCGTCTGGCAGCATTATCCCCCTGTTGCCAATGAGATGTTAATGCGGGGAACGTCAGCCCTTAACCTCTTCGCGTCGCGTCGCGCCGCTTACCCCAGACTAAACATCATATATCAATGAATTGTTCTGTATCGATATGCATACGAGGGCGCCGTCAATGTCACAGTCACGCGGGTCCCAGCATCCACTCTGCCGGCATCCACCATCGCATTGATCAACGTGTCGCGACGTTCAAATAGCGCGAGCGGATCGGAAATGGGCTCTTGAGATTCTGGGTAGCTGAAACAGAACATCAGAGTCCAGACCCCGCATCTATGTCCGGCTAGATCAGCAGTATAACCCGGTTAACGACTGTCGAAGGCGGACCGGACACATTAGGTACTGCACGCGGGAAACGTTAGACGATCATGCATTCGAGCACTCGGGCATCATGCAACCACGGACTTTGGAATAGATTGCTGTGCAGTCAGCATTGCATACTCACTACGTACAGAAGCCTGCTGGACAGTTACAAGGCGTACATGCTGTAAGACCTTATAGCTAGTAGTCTACAGGGTTCCTTTTCACAAGAGCAGGCCCACGGGACTCCCGGATACCGTCACCCGGACGCAGTCCAGGAGTATCTTCTCGATACACTCAGCCTCTACCGACTACCCCCGAGGCGAGAGCCTCCGCTTGTTGACGCCAAAGCACGTGGATCTAGCTTGCGCGTAACATTCTGGACCCATGTAGACGCTCGAAATACCAATTGACATACGGCGACTTGTCCCTATGTAGACAAGTAGATCTTTACTCCGGATTCCGAAAAGATGGCGCATACACGACAGTGTCTCCCGGCTATCTGGAACCTGCCTCACCAGGCATTTGCTCCACATGGCTCTGGGGAACCCCGGATTTACAACCCATGATTCGTGAGCAACTCCTGTATGATAAAGACAACCCCAGAGCCCAGTGTGGTTGCACAACTTAGTCTCTGCGTTTCCTGCGCACCCTTCCACACAGTCTCGTAACATCAAGCCAGAGTCACTGCAAGATGGCTGAAGAGAAGCAGTATCGTGAAGAGGTCACGACTGATCCCAGCCTCACCCATCAACACACCGCGAGCAGTCATGGCCTTCACCATGACCATGTCGCACAAGAAGCCCTTGGTGGCCACACCGCTGATCTGGGCAAGTCATACTTCACATCCATCAACTTTATTGGCACTGTAGTGGTAAGTTCACCATAACCATCGTCAAGAAATATGCTTACGGTCGATTAAGGCAACGTGTCTAGCGCAGATTTCTGGGTATGTGCTTTCTCCGAGCGGAATTTACGAAGAATTCGCTAAAAAATGTCCAGTTACCTAGGGTGGGTTCTTCCTGCGAATACACTGAGTCTCATCAACGCCGCGATTGGACCATCACCGGATATCATCTGGGTCGGCATCTCATGGACGGCTGGATTCGCCATTGGTTTCACCCTCGTCGGTCGTCTGTCGGACATCTTCGGTCGTAGATGGTTCTTCATCTGCTCTTCAATACTTGGTCTGGTCGGAAATATCATCGGGGCAAGCGCACAAAGCATCAACATGCTGATCGTATGTTCTGGCAACCATGGGATCTGTAGACGATGCTGACCCCCTCTTAGGCAACAAACTCCATTAATGGACTCGCCGCAGCCGGCCAACTTTCGTTCCATATTATCCTTGGCGAGCTTGTTCCCAACTCCCTGAGAGGTCCTGTGAACGCTTTCGTGCTTTCGACTTCCGTCCCTTTCGCTGTATTCGGACCGCCAGTAGCAAGATCCCTCTACCAGACCACTGAGCTACAATGGAGATGGTGCTACATCCTCGGATGCATTGTCAACGTACTGGCAATTGTTTTATACTTCTTCTTCTACTTCCCACCAACATATGTAAGGATCTCCAAGTTGAACATTCGTACAGTGGATTAACCATACTAGGAAATGCTCCACGTAGGCGGCAAATCGAAATTGAAACAACTCAAAACGCTTGACTGGATGGGTATCGTCTTGTTCTCAACTGGTCTTGTCGTGTTCCTGATTGGTATGAACTGGGGCGGGTCAGCATACCCATGGAAGAGCGGACACGTACTGGGAGCACTCTTTGCTGGATTTGGTACTCTAGTCGCATTCTGCTTTTGGGAAGCTTTTGCCCCGGGACTAGAGTACCCCCTCATTCCTTTACGACTCTTCAGAAACATTCAGTATGATGCCAATGTGGCTTGTGCTAGTCTGGCAGCCATCGTATACTACGCAAACTCCATCATCTGGCCAACAATGGTCTCTTCGCTCTTCACCACAGATATCACCAAGATCGGATGGCTTTCGGTAGGTCTACAAATGTCTCCACCGAATGATTATCGCTGCTAACGACATCCAGTGCGCTGTTGGTGGTGGCCTTCTCCTTGGACAAATCCTTGGAGGCGCTGGTGTGCGCTACCTTCCGCGAATGAAGATCCAGATGACTGTCGCGGCAGTCATCACTACAGCTTTTGTCGCCGCTGTCGCTGCTTCGAATGAAACGACAGAAGACCGCACGACCGCATTACTTTTGATCGGTACCATTGCTGCAGGCTACATCGAGAACCTCACACTTTCCAGTACAGCCTACCTCTGGGATCCTGCCGATATTGGTCTGGTGACTGGTGTCATGGGTGCTATCCGAACTGGTCTTTCTGCGATAGCTACGAGCATGTACTCATCGATACTCGCCACTGAATCAGCCAAGTATATTCCCCAAAAGGTCATGCCGGCTGCGCTAGCTGCGGGTCTTCCTGAAACGTCGCTCCCCGCGCTGTTAACTAGTATCACATTGGGTGACTTCAGCGCTGTACCTGGTATCTCACCTGCCATCATCGCAGCAACAGGTCAAGCTGTGAAGAGCGCATACGCACTGTCGTTCCGAACTGTATACCTCTGTACACTTCCTTTTGGCGTACTTCTTATTGTTGCAGCTTTGCTCTCGCCTAATGTGGAACAGTATCTTACAGATGAGGTTGCGAGGAAGATGCATGCCAGGGGCGATGAAAAGGGTGACCAGGCTGTGATGAAGGAGGTTGCCGATGCATAGAGTATGGATCGTTTAATTAAGACTTCGATAGAATCAGGTTTGGTGTATCCTGGTTGAATAGCACGATGCTCTTCTCCATAAGAACCAACTATGAGTCAATCTTTGCTGAGGTGTATAAGAGCAAATGGGACAACCAGCTCATCTACTAATGCTGTGATCGCCGAAGCCGCAGCCTATCCTAGGAGCACGACATCTACACGACGTGTCTGTACAACCTGGAAGATTTGAAGCCCTCAGCCCACCGACCGGAAATGGTTAGCGTGGCCAACGAAGCAGGCGCTCTAGATGCCATCAGCTTCGATACTTGAGCGATAGGTACCTCTGATACGATGGCAAATCAATTGCAAAGAGTGAAAGCTCGAATGAAGATGTCCATGCCAGACCCGGAAAGTGTGCAGCAATATAACAAACATTTCATCCCTCTCGAATCAAATCCAGACGTCTTCACCGAGCTTGCGCATAAGCTCGGGTTATCCACTTCATTGGGCTTCCAAGATGTGCTCTCTATAGACGACCCGGAGCTACTTGGCTTTCTTTCACGTCCAGCCCTCGCATTGATCCTGGTGTTTCCGACAACAGAGGCGTATGAGAAGAGAGCTCAGGATGAGGATGCCAAGCTCGAGGAGTTCCACAGCTCTGGCGATGTTGTATTCTTCAAACAGACCATCAACAATGCATGCGGTCTTTATGCAATCTTGCATGCTATCTCTAATGGCGAAGCGCGGCAGAAGATCGGTATGATAGCTGTGAGCTTCTATTCTCTACTGGGGGCGCTACTGAAATTGGTTAGATGAGGTCTCGATCATCGCTCAATTACTGGATGCCAGTCTAGCGCCTGATATAGACGGATTGGCTCAGGCATTAGAGGAAAACAAGGCGTTGGAAGTTGCATATGCTGGCGTAGCAAGCAAAGGCGATACTGAGGCGCCTCTGAATGCGGAAGACGAGGTGGAATACCACTATATCGCTTTTGCCAAATCGTCCAAAGACAACCATCTATACCAACTCGACGGCGACCGCAAGTGTCCTCTAGATCTTGGGGCGCTCACAGCAGACGAAGACGTTCTCTCTGAGAGATGTCTCAGCGTCATTCGTGGTATGATGGCAAGAGAGGACGAGAATCTCAACTTCAGTTTGATGGCTCTGACAGAGCATGCAGAGATGTAGGTAGCCAAGGAGTCACACTCTTCGTAGGATTTCTCCGAAGAGCGAGGAAGTGTGAACTATGAAGGACCTTTTTATTTGTTCTTGCAACGAACTTCGTCAGACGAAGAATGCACGTACTTCAGTACAGCCGCATACACCACAGCTAAGCAAGACGCAAAGATGTGGGATGCTCCCCGAAGGGACTTGTAAAAGTGTCGGAGACTCAAGTGGCTGGTGTGCGGGTTGCGTCCTATGATGATGATGTATACGAAGCTAGCATGACATGCATTTGTACCATTTCTCCTCGCATTAGAGGTTGTTGTTGATGTCTGTCATTGTGTCGTCGCGAGAGTGAAACGGCGTTCTGGCGAAGAAAAGTTAACATGTTCGCCGCATGGACCACCGCGCTAGGCTAGCTCTCCAGGAATCGCGAGCCCTGAGCTTCACTTCCACCGACCGCGATCGCGACTACATCCTTCCCCACTTCACCCATTCCGATCGCGAAGATGACGAAGAAACGCAGAAGATATCCAGATTTAAACCAGAAGCTCGAGGTACGAGATGCGCATAAAAGTTGTCCATGGAATGCAAGCTGACCTCTATAGCGACCATGGTGTTACTACTGCGAGCGCGACTTCGACGACCTTAAGATTCTCATCTCTCACCAAAAGGCCAAACATTTCAAATGCGACCGCTGTGGAAGACGGTTAAATACCGCTGGAGGTACGCACCAGCCGACTCAAGACCTCATGTGTTAGAGCGATACTAACACCTGCTCAGGTCTCTCCGTGCATATGAACCAAGTCCACAAGGAGACGCTCACCCACGTTGAGAATGCCAACCCCGGACGTCAAGGTCTCGATCTCGAGATCTTCGGTATGGAAGGTGTACCCGCCGAGATAATAGATCAACACAACCAGCAAGTCACACAGGCACATTTCGCTGAAGAGCAAGAACGCGCGCGAATCACCGGAAATCCTATGCGCGGAGCGTACGTCAATGGACAAGCAGCACCAAACAAGAGGCCGAAGATCAATGAGAGTCTAGAGGAGATTGAGGAGAGGGCAGCCAAGTTCCGAGAGGATCGAAAGAACGGCGTTCTACCTGCGCCGGTGGAGCCTGTGCAGAACGCTGTACGTACTCGAGCATCTGAGCATGAAGAAAACACCTGGCTAACACGTATACAGACGCCCCCAGTTGCCCAAAGCCCGTACGGCGTGCCACCTCCTGGCGCGCCTGTGGCTTTTCCACCTAGTGCGTCCGCATACCCCCCACAAGGCGTCCCGCAACCCTTCTCACCTGCCAACGGCGCTATACCCGCACGCCCTGGCAGCATACCAGGCCAGCCTGGCGCGTTACCTCCTCGGCCTGGTTTCGGTGCTCCACCGCCTGGTGCCTATCCACCAGGTCAGAACGGCGACATCTCGAACTCTGTCGACGATCTGATCAACGAGGTGACAAAAGAGGCTGCGCCCAAGGAAGAGAAGAAGAGCAAAAAGGACAAGAACCAGCGACTCATTTTCTTTGCGGAGACGACAAGTCCGGAGGAGAAGATGGCTGCTTTGCCGAGGTTTGCGGAGTTTATGCGGACATGATGAAATCAGGGGTAGTTTGCTGTGTAAACCGAGAGAAAGCCAAGTCGCGATTACGCATGTTGGCAGTTATGCTACAGAGCCTTGAGGCTGGCGCAAGGGCAAGAGCCCACGGATGCCGCACGACGCAGGACGGACCGCATCAACCAAGGCGCTGGGGCGCGGAAAAGAGTGGCTTTGCATATAGTATCTATCTAAGAGCGATCAACTCACGAAACGAGCAAGACCAAGCCCACGTCTGGATTCACCAAGGATGAGTATGATGATAGCTCATTGACATTGAATAGCACAGCACAATGAAGCAAACAAGCTTGGAAAATAAGGGTATCTTGCAAATCAACGCATCAAGTAATTATACAGCAATCCAGTCGTGCAGCCTAACCAAACCCTACCACGTTTTATTGGTCGTAAAAGCCCAATTCCTCGCCCTCTTCTTCCTCGTCCTCGTCGTACTCTTCGCTCTGCTCATCATCACTGCTTCGATCCTCACTAGCACGCGCCCATTCGGAGCTCTCGGTGAATAGTGACTCGCCAAGATCCAGACCGCGTGTCTGGGTAGTTCCCATAATACCTTGTTCCTCCTGCGTCACATCCGTGACGTCTTCTTGCTCAGGCATAGGATCGACCTGCCTCAGCAAAGCTTTCTCATCCAACTCATTGTCTTCATCGTTGTGACTAGTAGCGAAGCCAACAGACTTTGCTGTACTCGGTCGTTCGTGCACTTCAGTATGCTCGACCCGACGGGGCTGTTCCTCGATGATGTCGCCGTTCCAAGGTCGGCATTCCTTGACTGTCTCGCCGCAGCGCAGACATGTCCAGCCTTCGCCCTCCTCGTTTGCGATTCGTTGCGCAATGCATGCGAAACAATATATACAGCCGCATGGGATGGCTTCATATGGGTTGGTGATGTCTGTTGTTGCAGAGCCGACGACACCGCCGCCACCGGCTGAGGAGGTGAGGATATCAGCTTCGCTGGCGGTTGTTGGGTTCTGGTCGCGGTAGCAGATTGCGCAGGTCCGTTCGGGCAGGAAAGCTAGTTCACCGGCGGCCTTGGCCTCTTCATCTCCTTCATCGTTGTTGGGCTTTGAGCGGCCGAGAAGGGAGAGTACGGTTGTTCGCAGTTTCTTGAATGTGCGGCTCAGAATGCGACGCCAGCGGGAGATGCCGACGAGTGGGAGGAGGAAGAGGAGGAACTCGGTGAAGGCGTGCCATACAAGTTGGCGGTTGAGGTACTCGAAACTGACTTCGCGTGATGTCATGTGCGATGTCGGTGTCAGACGTAGCCGGAGGAGGCGATCTGTAATGGTCCTATACCGACCGTCGACGAGGAAGACTAGGAAACTGGCAAGACCGAGGACGTCATGCGCGTTTCCTGCCAGTTCACTCAAGCGCGTCAGAAGCTTCAACCTTGGGCTCTCAGGTCGAGTATAGTCCTCAGACGCAGATAAAAGGTACTCTTCCCATTTTGTCCACGCATACCTTCCTCCCACTGTGACAGCCCCATAGGCGACCTTTTGCCACGGTTTAGGCGGCGGACGGTTGGGCGCACTACTCCGCGCATCGGTATACCTCAGCCCCTGTAGATGCGCGCCATAACTCGCATTCTGATCCCAAATGCTCAACTTCCATAGCACGGCCCTCAATGCCAACAATATTTCAGCCGAGTAGTTGTCTGTAACATGGCTTCCAAAATATTTCAAGCCTTCGCCAACCTGATCCTTCATCAGCGTCAGGAGTTCTTCGTCGAGCAGTTCCGCATCGACCTGGCCGACGCGGAACTCTGGTCGTGTCCCCGATCGGCCTTTTATCGCGTCCCAGATGCTGAATCCCGTGGTGGACAGGCTGCTGAAGGGGAAGGGCAGGCGCGACAGGGCGCGTTGTGCGGTTGATGGCGGAGGCTCATGGTGATTCCGCTGTTGAAGGGCGCGTTGAGCGCGGCGGGCTGCTATGCGTTGCTGGGCGGCGGCGAAGTCTGCGGAGGGCATTTGGGAGCATTGGGAGGCGGCGACGTGCAGGCAGAGCGGCTGAGGTTATGGACGCCGTTGGGCAATGGTGCGAGATGTGGATGCAGCGTGATGATAGCGTGATGGAGAGACCGACCAGACTGGAGTTGCGACGGACCGAGGTTGGCTGGGGAAGTAGCCGACGCACGCGACGCCTTCTCCAGACAAGCCAGGACCATGTCTGGGGACGCCATGACAATGCGTCTCTGACAGGGCAACCCCAAGTGTACGTCGGATAGACGGTATGCAATTAACAGTCCCAAGTTTGGCTTGTGTCAACTGCCAAAACGCTGTCACCCAACGTCGCCGTCTCGTGTCTCGGGGGTCCGAGCTGTGACGTGGGGAGCTTCTCGAATTTGTTTCCTCTAAACACCAAGATAGTTTTCCCAAACAAGACTTGCCGCATACTGGTCACAGCCTGGGTGAGCAGGCTTCATATTCTTTACTCTCACCGTGAATCGCATCCACCCAGCTACTCACCGCTTCCTTTCCGTGTCTACAACTTCACCTACTTGCGACTGCCCCACTACCGCAGCACTTGAAGTGTCCACACCACAGGATGAGTAACGAATTCAGCGTTGAGGTGCCGGGAGAGGCGAATCCTCTGACTGAGAATATCCTGTTCCATGTCTTGCGCTCGGCGTCTTCGGCGGACCAGACTCAGGTTCAGTCAGGCACCAAGCAACTCCAGCAGTGGGAGAAGGCCCAGGGTTACTACCCTCTACTGCAGACGGTGTTTCTGGACCAGTCCCTTCCACTAGAAGTCCGCTATCTCGCCATCATCCAGCTTAAGAATGGCATCGACAAGTACTGGCGCAAGACAGCCACCAAGTACGTCTCCATACCATGTCGCATCAACACAGAGTCTGACATGGGCGTAGCGCAGTGAGCAAAGAAGACAAAGCTACCATACGAGCCCGCCTACTCGAGAGTGCCGTCAACGAAGCCGACCACCGCCTAGCACTACAGAATGCTTTGGTAGTTGCCAAGATTGTCCGCTTCGAGTTCCCCAATGACTGGTGAGTCTGGACAAGAGTATGACATTCCCTACTCTAACATCACCCAGGCCTGAGCTGTTCCAACAACTACTCCATGTCCTCCGCGCCTCGACCGATCCGAACGCTTACCGACTACAACTTCCTCGCGCTCTTCTCGTCTTACTATACATTGTCAAGGAATTATCAACTGGGCGACTTCTAAGGACACGGCAAAGCTTACAGACGGTTGCACCAGAAATTTTCAATGTATTAGGCACCATCTATGTGAACAAGGTACAAACATGGCAAGCCTTCTTTCGCGACGGCGGAGACGACGAAGGCGGCGCACTTGAGAGCATCGACAACAGCTTACTCGCCATCAAAACGATGCGGCGGTTGATCATTGCAGGCTACGAGTTCCCGGGCAGAGATAAGGACGTCCAAGGATTCTGGACACTAACACGTACTCATTTCGGAGAGTTTCTGCAATATGTGATACCAGAAAACTCGCCACTTGCAGTTGAAGTCCAGAAGAAGATAGGCAAGCACTTGATGCAGCTTTCCAAGTTACATCTCAACATGGCTACTACTCATCCAGCAGATTTTGTCCTTTTACCCAACTCGATAGATCTTGCGCGCGACTACTGGAGTCTCATCTCAAGATTGGGCGAGCAGTGGGGCTCAAAGTCTATTGAGGGTGCCAAAGTCGGCACCGATGGCGATGAAGAAGACGAATCGCCCATCATCGAGCGTCTGGGTCTCAAGGGCTTGCTACTAATCCGTGCTTGTGTGAAGATGGTCTTCTACCCTACTCAGACCTTCCGCTTCAAGCATCAGCAGGAAAAGGACGAGAAGAACCAAGCCACACATATGATCAAAACAGACCTTCTCACTGATGATCTTGTACGTGAAATGATCTCAGCCCTGGTGCAGCGCTTCTTCGTTTTCCGGCCTAGCGATCTCCGTATGTGGGAGGAAGAACCCGATGAGTGGGAGAAGATGGAGGAGGGAGCAGAGGACTGGGAGTTTGCAATCCGACCCTGTGCCGAGAAGCTCTTCCTAGACCTTGCAAAGAATTTCAAAAATTTGATCATTCAACCGCTACTCCAAGTCTTCTATACAGTCGCAAGTGAGTACTCGCTTTCAAAACAAATGGCTCGCTCTGACATTGCACAGCTCCGGAGAACGAGGATATCCTGTTCAAGGACTCCGTATATACCGCTATTGGGCTTGCAGCCGATATACTACACGACCAGGTGGACTTTGATTCGTTCTTGGAGAAAACGCTAGTCGTCGAGGTTGCGAAACAGAAGCCAGGCTACAATATTATCCGCCGTCGCATCGCCATCATCATCTCTCAGTGGATAACTATCAAGATGGCCAAGGAGAAGAAGCCTATCGTATACCAAATCTTCCAGCATCTGCTTGACAAGAATGATCCGATGAACGACCAAGTGGTTCGGATCACCGCAGGCAGGAAGTTCCATGCTGTCGCTGACGAATGGGAATTCCAAGCTGACGCGTTCTTGCCTTACTCACAACTTATGTTAGATAGATTGATGGCGCTGGTCCAAGAAGTTGAGCTTCCAGAGACGAAGATGGCACTTCTCAACACGATCAGTCTTGTCGTATATAGACTGGAGCACCACGTAAGTCAAAGCATGGAGACGAAGTCAAAGCATGGAGACGAAGTCAAAGCCTGGAGACGTGAAGTACTTGAACTAATATGGCTTAGATCACACCGTATGCTAATAGCATCATCGCTCTCCTTCCACCCTTGTGGGAGCAGTCTGGCGAGGAGCATCTGATGAAGCAAGCCATCCTTACCCTTCTTGCTCGCCTAACAAATGCAATGAAAGCTGAGTCACGCTCTTTCCATGTTTCCTTCTTGCCCATAATCCAGAGCGCTATTGAGCCTGGTTCGGAGACTCAGGTCTACCTCCTCGAAGATGCGCTTGACCTATGGGCCTCTATCATCGCACAAACACCGTCAGCCCCGGAACCCACACCACCTGAGCTGCTCAACCTCCTTCCCTACCTGTTGCCTCTCTTCTCCATGGACAATGAAACACTACGAAAAGCCATTGAGATTACAGAAGCCTATCTCCTCCTCGCGCCCGCTGCCGTCCTCGCAGACTCTTTCCGTCCCGCGATTCTTCAGGCCCTCGCGGAGCTACTGGGCAGCTTGAAACCTGAAGCGAACGGTATCATGACACACCTCGTAACCTGCATCATTAGAGGCGCGGACGGCGTAGGTGGCGAGAACGCTGTCAAGGTTCTGACGAGCGATCTGATATCCTCTGGCTTTCTAGCCAAAGTTATGGAGGGCCTTCACGGCGCATGGACACACCACCAATCCCACGGTCCCTACCGTGAGCTTCCTTCTCGTGCGGTCGATGGGGTAGTGGAGACGGATTACTTTACGGTATTAGCTCGTATTGGAGTTGCTTCACCTTCTGTTCTCCTGGAAGCACTCTCCTCACTATCGAGCGAGGGCTTAGAAAAGACTCTGGACTGGTTGCTAGAAGAATGGTTCAGCCACATTGAGAACATTGGCGACGCACCAAACAAAAAGCTTATGTGTCTTGTTCTCACACGCTTCCTAGAAGGAGGACAGCCTTGGATGATGGGCAGGTTGCAGTCGTTGATAGGGATTTGGACGGATGTGCTAGGAGAGTTGCTGGATGGCATGGACGATCGAAGTCAAGAGTACGTGTTTCCTTGTGTTAATTTCTGCCAACTTTGCAGACACTGATTCTTCATTCCAGCTCTCTGTTCTGGCCTCCAGAACCTTATCACCCTACAGAACCCGAAGCACCGGAGGATATACGCAAGCGCGAACTCATTTATACTGACCCCGTCCATCAGATTAACCTTGTTGCATTTGTCAGAGAGCATCTTCAGCAAGCTATACAGCAAGTAGGCGGAGAACAAGCCTTCCAGGAAGAATGGCTCAGCCGTGTGGATAAGGAGATTCTCAAAGGTTTCGGAGAGTTGGGCATTATGTAAGAAGGGGCTAGGAAAAATGAGTAGCATTTGGAAGAGGAATCATAAAGACTAAGCAAAGGAGCAGTGAAGGCGGAATATTAGTAGCGGTCCACGCGTTTCTATATCCAATACTAGCCTCGTCACCCTTCGAGACCGCTCTTTGCCTTGTATATCTCATGCTAATTCACCACTTCAGTGGCCCAGGTCTTTCCATCTATCTTCTTATCCCGCACGCTTAGAGATCCCAAAGCCATCTTTCGTGTGTCCTCCCCAGCAGAATACAGCACGCCTCCCCGCCCGTCTGACAACACAGTTGTATGTGCATGTACAACTCCAAGACACTGAGTAGCTAGCGCATTGCTGGCGGTAAGATGCTACTCTCGCACCATTTTGAATGTATCTTGCCGATACTATTTGGACGGGAAAGGATCGCGTCATTTGTATAAGAGAAGGACTTGGTATATCTGTTTCGACAAGTCAACAGGAATTTTCAAGGCCGCATTACGTCCGGGGGCGTATCATGTGCGTCAGCAATTGATGGTTTAATCGCTAGCCTCACTCACACCGGGAAGGTCTCTGCTCCTTCTGCTCGGCGCAAAAACTCCCACATCGCTCGCACGACTGCAAGACCACTGCCTTGTGTCTCGATTGTGCGGCCGCGGCCACGGTCGTTGAGATCGCCCCCACCCCTCCTTGTGATTTCATTCTCAACGTCTTCGTTGAAGATGGACCACTCAGAGGGCTCCTGGAACTCGCCTTCCATGTACATGCCATCATCGGGCTGCGTATGCATGTTACGGTAGTCTGTTGCGTTCTGTGGGAGGGAAGGGCGTCCGTCAGAAGCAGATGCTTTGCGATGGTGCGAGGAGGATGGAAACGGTGTCTGTGGAGCGCCCCACCATGATCCGAATCTTCCTGCTTCATCACGCGTCTGAAGGGCGGCTTGGGCGTTGTGTGTCACCCAGGTAGTGTATTCTCTACAGCTGTTCGCGTGTAACATGGCCGTCTCTCGAGTCGCTGCGTGTGTTTTCCCTGGTCTAGTCGGTCGGGATGGAAGAGGATTGCAGAAGGAAGTTAGATGGTGGAAAAAGATGCCCTTGAATGTTTGACCATCTTGACTACAGCGTCCAGAGGGGTCACACGATTCTGTTAGGACACCGTTGTAGCCCAGACCTGCCCAATCAGTTGGCAATGCCTCTTCCTTGTTTTCCGAAACCTTGCTCTGACGCTGTTGCGAGTTCGTGCTAGACGAGGATGGGGAACGGGATCCAGATCTTGTCCAGCCCGTGGCGCGTATGACGTTCCTGACGAGCTCATGCCCATCTTCCAAATACGAGATGTTGCCGGAAGCTTCCCATAACCCGCGCAGCCCAGACAAGAGCACACCCTGGTTGTAGGTGTAGACCATTTCGTTTCGCTCGTCGCACGTCGTCTTGCTATGATTTGTGCGGTAGCCTCCAATGTGAAAGCCATCAACATAGAGCCCCTGGTCGTTTGTCATCCCGACGTTCTTCAGCCACTCGTACGCATTGATTGCGTTCGCAAGGTACACGGGATCATACCGCCCGCGGTGCGCATCGTCGCAGTCGTCGTACAGTTGGGTCTTGGGTAGCTCTGGTTCATCGTGCTGCAAAAGGAACGGCGAACAGTTGTCGTCGCCCGGAAATTGCAAGTACATGTTGATGCTCGCTGAGATGAAGAGCTGGTTCGTAATGGCGTTCTTGTATGGTAGGAGACGAGGATTCCACGTCATGCCGCCCCCGCAAAGTCTCCAATCCCATCCCTTCTCAGCTAGTTCGTAGAACACGCGGGCGCGATGTGCGAAAGCAGGTACGAATTGATTGGCATGCCATTTTTTTCCTCCAATGTTGTCAGACGTGTAGTGTCCAACGGAATGGCTCTCGATGAAAGTGGTCGCTTCTAACCAGCCCAACACTACCCACAGCATGTCGTCGAATGCCTGCATTCTGATGGCAAAGGCATCTTCGCCAAAGTAGTAGGCAGTGGTCTGCGCAAAGTATCTGTTGATCTCGTTCTCCACCATTTGTGCCTCGACGTCCAGTTTCCGGCTCTTATCGAACGTGCCTGGCATCGTATAGGACAGCGAACGCGAGAGCGATGATAGGGTGGCCGAGACATAGGTAGACATGACGGCTGCTGTCCAGTCGATCGCTGTTGTGTACTTGCCGAGCCACACAGAGAAGTACTGGTCCTGCATTGTAGACAGGGCGGAGTGGAGATCCTGGGGGACATTGGCTTCGGAGACCGTGTAGCTGGCTGTGCTGGGAGATGTAGATGAGCTGGCGACATTCTGATTCTCGGGCTCGTAGACCGGTTGTTCTGCTTCTGCGACATATTAGTGAGAGCTATTGAGTTGGTATCTCTTAGCCTCACCTTGTGAAGCTGGCGATCCCGTATTACTAGCGATGGAGCTGGTTGCAAACGCCGACGTAAGCAAGGAAACAGAGACGCATAGTCGCCAGAGCGACGCGACGCGTGGTATCCTCATTGCGAAGGCCAGGTAGCTGTACTCGCCGACACCGTGATTGCGCTGACCGAGGGCTGAACGCTATGCGACGCGTGAGCAATCCACCGAGCCGCTCTGGGAGCAAGCTACGTTTAGAATTGCTATAGCATATACACCGAGATCAATACAGAAGACCAGTGAAGGGTTCTTATCGGCTACTGTGGAGAGCATGGCGGAGGAGGCATGTGCCGCGAGTGCATGAGGCGTACACGATCCCAGCCAAGTCCACCTTCCCGTGCGGGCTTGGGTGGCTGATCCTGCCCGGGCTTGATATTCGTCGCATCGTATTCTTGGACAGGAGAATTGCCGAAGACGTTACAGAGTCAACGAGGCCATACACACGTCTCGCACGTGTATTGTGATGGAGAGGCGGGATGACGCTAAGCTTGATTGCGACCCTCACGTGGTTCCTACGCACCACCATAACTGTCGCAAAAAACTACACCAACAGCAACCAGAAAAAGGCAAAAAGATGCAAAAAGATGATGATGAGAGTGGGATTCGAACCCACGCAGATTTCTCTACTAGCACCTGAAGCTAGCGCCTTAGACCGCTCGGCCATCTCACCGGATGATGTTGTTGATGAATGAGATGCATTTACAATATGATATATACTCAAAGTGTCAGGAACAGAAAGAAGGCCGCTCGTAATGTTACTCGAACAGACGTGTCAAGTCGCGACTTCAAGTGGGGTGGCTGACATAGCAGAGATTTCACAAGCTTACGCTTATCAGACATCTCCACATGCTTTCTCAAATGTGTAAAGATGTACTGTAACTTATTCAAGTAGATCTTGTCAGTTTTGCCCGCCATTTTCCGAATACTACTTCCCCGTTTTCAGTCTTTGAAGAAGATTTAGAGACCAAGCCAGGAGGGCGCCAGGACGTTTCCGCTTTTGAGCACAGTGGTGTTTATCAGGCTCATATCTCAGGTTTGATGTTGTGACCTCCGAAACCTTGAGTACCTGAGTGCTCCTGGTCTAATCTCAGAAACGAATCTCACTCGCGAAGAACATGTTTGAATGTGCAGAGCAGGAGATTTACCAAAGTCTTGGAGGCTGATATCGAAGCCAATGAGAGGTTGCGTTTTCTTTCGTCTGGCGCCACTACAGGCTGGGATTGTGATGCATCTACGCTTAACAATATGCTCGTTTCTGGCCTCGTGCTTTCGCTTCGATTGCAACAACACTCAGTTACTTACGTCATGGCTCAAGGTCACCACACTTACGCTATAGAAGATGCTACAAGACCACAACAACCTTCGTTCTACGAATCCGTTGTCCAACAGTGACAGTGCAGTCGACCACAGGAATTGTCCACTCAAGACATCATGTCATACATGCGGAGCTGCTAGCACCATAGTGAGACAAGGGCAATGCCGTATTCGTCAAGCACAGGCAAGTCTGCAGATGTGTTAGTCCATCATCTTAAGAGCGCAGTAGTTGTGTACTTACAATGGTCAAGTCAAAACCCGACCTACCCAAAGAGGTAAGCCGGTAAGCTGGTATTACAGGACACGTCCTGGGTATGATACAGAAGCAACTGCTAGGCTTCCTGCCCATGTGGTCCTTCCCTCTGCTTCACAACGTAGCTCGAATAATGAGAGCATAGGATGCCCGCTCGTCCAGAAACTACTCATCGTCCATGTCGTCACCGTCGCGTCCAGGACTCTTGCTCCTGGCTCTTCCAGCACCGCGTCCGCTCTGGCGCTTGTCATAGTCGCGAGGGCGGCCCTTGCTGGCTGGCGGAGGGCGCACAAAGGCAAAGTCGACGGTGACCTTCTGCTCAAGGAGCTCCTCGCCGTTGGCGCCCTTGATAGCGGCCTTTGCTTCTTCCAAGGTAGCGTACTCGATGAGGACGTAGCCCTATACAAGGTCAGCTCTGCCACGCGCTTGGACATGTAACATCAGGCGCGTACCTTGACATAACCCGTCCTCCTGTCCAGGTTCATGTGCAGATTCTTAATCGTTCCAAACTCGCCAAACATGTCCTGAAGATCCTCCTCGGTGCACTCCTCGTGCACGTTGGTGACAATGATGATCCAGCCTTCGATGGAGCGCACAGCTGTTGCGCCTGCGTCGGTGCGCGCGTCGCTGGCGTTGGGGTCAGCCGACGAGACTTCGGGCTGCTCGGGCTGGTCAATGTCCATGGTTTCTGCGTCGGCCATGGCTGCGGAATGTAATTGGTCGGTGGGGGTACAGCGGGTATCGTGGTGAGGGACTGGAGTTGTCAAGCTTTCGGCGTCGCCAAATGTTTCCGCAGTCGAGGCAGTTCGCGCTAGTGGGAGAGCGGCGCCTTCCCACAGTACGCGACCCAAACTCGTCCCTCACCCTCCACCGCGCCTGCCCTTTGTTTAGCCGCAAGTCCGACGCTTACGAGCTGTGCCCGCTGCCTGCATACATCATGGCCCACGTCTCCACCCCTCACGGCACAGCCGGGAACACACAGATAAAAGAGCCACCCACCAGCCTTTGTACTCTAGCACTGAGCTAGGTTCAGCTACCACACCCCGCCGACGTCACTCGAATTGCTCCATGACAAACTCTTGACCTGCGTCTTTCATCATGCTCCAGTTTCTCGACAACCTCGTACACTACGCCGACCCGACACTCCCGTCCTTCTCGTCCCTCACGTACCTGTACATCATCATACTAGTCTCCTCGCTCTTGATTTCCTTCCGCTCGCGACAGGAAGAAGAGAACGTAAACTAGCATAATGTCCAAATTCACTAATGTGTGTACTTGTCCCCATCTCATACTCAACAAGACTAACCATGCCAGATCGCCATGATCGGTTGCGGGAGCATGGGCGGTGGAATGGCCCTGCTCTTCGCCGAGGACGGCGTCAATGTTTCGCTCTCGGACCCGTCTGAGCAGGCAATGGATGCAGTCATCAACAAGGCTGAGCAGCAGGGGTACAACGGAAAGATCAAAAAGTACAATGGTAGGTGGAAATGCATCGACCACGGTACAATCGAGGGCTAATGGAGCGACAGACTACGATTCCTTGTGCAAGTCACTCTCCACACCGCGCCTCCTCGTCTTCTCTCTTCCACATGGCGGCGTTGGCGACAAGGTCCTCGAGGGTCTGGAGCCACATCTCGCCCGCGACGACATCATCCTAGACTGCGGTAACGAGCACTTCCAGAACACCGAGCGCCGACAGAAGAAGACAGAGGGCACTGGCATCCGATACATTGGCTGTGGTGTAAGTGGTGGGTACCAGGCTGCGCGAGCGGGACCTTCAATGTGTCCTGGCGGTGACATCTCTGCGCTCAAGGAAGTTCTTCCACTACTAGAAAAGGTCGCAGCCAAAGACAAGAACGAGAAACCTTGTGTGGGCGTCATTGGAAAGGGCGGCGCAGGACATTACGTGAAGATGATGCACAACGGCATCGAGCACGGCATGATGAGCGCCATCTGCGAAGCCTGGGGCATCATGCGAAAGATGGGCATGGACTACGAGGAGATTGGCGACGTTCTATCCGAATGGAACTCAGAAGGCGAGCTGGTATGTCTGCGCTTCATGACCCTGGAAGCTTTCCTTACTAACTATAACAGAGAGGCACCTTCCTTGTCTCCATCGGCGCCGATCTATCTCACAAACGCGACTCAGGCGAAAAGCCCAACCAAAAAGATCCCAAACACCATCCTCTTGTCATCTCACAAGTCCTCGACAAGGTCGTTCAGGACGTCACTGGCGAAGAAGGCACAGGTATCTGGAGCAACACCGAGGCCATTGAACTTCACGTACCAGCCTTCACCCTCAACATCGCGCACGCATTCCGCCTTGCGTCCGCCTTCCGCGGCGACCGTGAGCAAGCCAGCAAGGCTGCCGACGGAGGTTTCCCTCCTAGCCAGCTGGACATTTCCGACAAGAAGGCTTTCCTTGAAGATTTGAGAAAAGCAACATACGCCTCATGTCTCGCCAGCTACATCCAAGGCATGAATGTCATTGCCAAAGCAGATCAAGAGCACAAGTGGGAAATTGACTACTCACAAATCTGGCAAATCTGGCGAGCAGGATGTATCATCCAAGCAGACTACATTTCTGACGAGATCCTCACGCCGGTCCTCAAATCCAATCCCAAGCCCGAAGACTTGAACCTCAACTTTTCGACTCGCGTTGCCAAGGACGTAAAGAACTGCTTCCCAGCCCTTCGTCACATTGTCGCCAAAGCTGTAGAGACGGATCAAGTAATACCTGCCATAAGCGCTACGCTGGAGTACTTCAAAGTCGCTAGTGGTACCGACCTACCGACATCGTTCTACGAAGCAGAGCTCGATTACTTTGGCAGTCACATGTTCGACAAGAAGGGCGACAAAGATGCAAATGTCAAGAAGCCAATGGAAGGCAAGCATCACTTTGAGTGGAAGCCCGCGACGAGCCAGAAGGAACAGTACGGTAAGAACTACAAGTTTTGAGGTAGTTGAATGCGGCCATCGTCTTTCTTTTTGCGCTTCAGCCTAGGTTAATAGTGATAATAGAGCAAATGTATTTGACATGATTTTAACGAGAAGCAGAAGATGTCATAGCAAGTCTTAGCACAACAAGTGATGCATCCTGAAGATGCAACCTCCGCGTTTTGGGGGTAAGCCTTCTGTCATGAGCTTAAATGACGTTATTTCCGCCACCTGTACGAGCTCCACATGCTCTCCCTCCGCTTCCGTCGGCCGCATGACGTACCAGTCCTCAAAAAACCTCCACCTCCTCACAGCGACTCGGAAGTTGCGGCTTACGAGTCTCGTATTGACACCAAAATAGAGACATTGTCAATCGATCGGCAATTTATACGCCGCCCGAGAGGTCACCGTGGCTGCGCCGGGAGATCTGCACGAGCTTACAGGGGATGGCTGACAGAGTAATCTTCCGATATCCCTGTTACGGTAATTGTCTCCTACTCTTTGTGGAGATAGGGTCACACTGGATGGTATGATGTGATGCGAGATGGCTGTGCGTTTCCAGTGTCGGCCGTAGGTATATAATTCATTCAACACCCGAACAGACCTCATATACACATTCAAGCTTCAACCTAAAACGGCCTCCACATCGTCAACAAACTTCACGCACCGCCTATCTAGGATCCTATAAGCCTATACTACCAACACAATGCGTTTCTCCACCCTCGCAACAGCCCTCACATCTGCAACTCTCGCATCCTCTCGCCTGATCGGCATCGCAGCCCCTTCAACGCTCGCACCCAACAGCACCTTCACTCTCACCCTCCTCTCAGAAGGCTACATCCAATCTGTCGCCGACGTGGCAGTAGCCTGGGGTTTCGACATTGCGCCAGGTTACCCCGGTTCTCTGGGCGCCTTCACCGGTTCCGCGTACCTAGGTCCTGAGAAGAGCAACCAGGGACAGGACAATGTTACAATCACTGCTACCGTGCCTGAGGAACTGGCCAGCGACTCCTACAAGGGCAAGGATATCTTGTTGAACGCCGGAATTTACTCGTTGTATGGTGCTAGTGGAGGCCCAGTGGTTACGGGATTTAATGTTACGGTCAAGATTGGCGAGACCACTGGTGGGGAAATTGTACAGAGTGACGGTCAGGCTTGGATTCAGAACAGCATCCAATAGACCGGTGCAATGCTTGCGTGTTTAGCGATTGAGCGCCCAAAGAGCTGTAGAACTTAAATTTCGTAATGTGTACATTATACAATGTTATTACTCGATATTGGCATCACAAGCATCTAAAGTTTTAAGATTCTGGAGTGGCAGCGCACTATAGCATTTGAATGATGTGCTTTGTTGATGACGATAAACCAGAGCAGCTATGACCTGGATCACAACTAATCGATATCTAGGCTTCTAAGCCGTGAATATCAAGGCAGCAATCACACCTTGCGCGTAATGGTGTCGTCTCGACGGTGAAGAAAGCATCTCAAGCTCAGCGAAGCTCAGAGTGTTCCTTCTGGGCCTCAAATTCTGTATATCGTTAGCAGCTATCCAAGGTGTATTCGTCAGAACTGCAAGACTTACCCTTCAGCCAGTCGACAACAAAATTCTTCAGGTACTGCTGAGCGTACACGACCTGCGGTGGGGGCAATTCGGGGGTGGTCTGGTTCTCAAAGATACCATTCTCCTCCCAGTGATGTACACCATGGCTGATCAGGTGCCACGGGCGATCAGTGGTGTCGTTCCTGCTCTCTGGGTACCATAGCGGGGTAGCGGGTCTCCACGGATCAGCGTTACCTCCAATATGGGCAAGGCGCTCGTAGTCAATGCTGTAGTTGCCGTACTTGTTGACGCGCTCAGTCTCTGGAGGGTGCTCGATGCCGAACTGTGCACGGCAGAAGAAGGTCAGATACTCGACATCGAGAGTACGCGAGATGAGGGGCATAATATCGGCCGGGGTATTTCCGGTTTGAATGTATCCCCACTCGGTGCAAACTTGGTAGCTCCAGCTCGTTGCGCCGTAATCCTCAAGGGATGTGTATTGCTGGAGCGCAGTGGCATTGAGCGTGGTGAAGTACGAATCCTGAGTCCTGTTCGAGCGGCGCCATCCAGCGAGCGCGGTGCTGTTGAGCCAGGCAATAGCGTTAAGGGTGATGTTCTGCACAACGGTATCGTTGGTGTAGCCAGCTGCTGAGACAAGTTCAGCAACAGCTGGGCGGAGGTTCTCGCCTGTAGGCTCCTCTGCTGTGATGTTCTGGCAATCTAAACATGGGTGTACAAAGTCAGTATATGCCTCACATGTACTCCACACAGGGACACTCACAGTTGAACCAAGAAGGCGAATTCTCTTCAGGATCCCAGTTGGTGCTCTGCAGACCATATACACCGGTAATCTGGCCAGCAAAGTCACGGTTGTCCGTAACATCACCCATACCAAAGACATCCTTGAGCGCCTGAACCTTTGAGGTGTCGTTCTGGCGGATGAGAATACCGTCGACCACGTCGATCAGAAGCTGCGTGTTCTTCATGCAATCGGGAGGTCCGGTGAGTCTAGCAGGCTCAAAGTACTGCCAGTAGTCGTAGATTGCGACGGTCACGCCAGAAGAGGAAATTGCGCCCCAGAAAGTCTCTGGGTATACAACTCGCAAGAAAGCAGCCTGAGCTCCAGCATATGAACCACCATAGACGACCCAAGGGGTGTTGGGCGCAGTCAAATCCGCATCGATGCCTTCAAATTTGACATTCTTCGCAAAGAAGTCGATTTCAGCAAGCGCCTGCTCAGTCGACAAGAACCGCATGTTCTTAGTCGTCAGATCGGGCACCGGGAAGGACTTTCCATAGTAACGATGCTCGAGGATGACACCAAGACCATTAGTAGCCTTGATGACCTGGTGAACGATTCCCTTCTGAAGGAACGTGAGGCGACCTTCTCCGTCGGTTTCTCCACCAAGAAGAACAAAGACCGGTCCGCCAGGCTTGTAGTACGTGTCATCAAACCAGTACCTCAGGTTGAAAGACTCGTTGCTATGAGGCTCGTACCGTGTCTCATTATGGAAGAAGTCGACTGGCACGGAAATGTTGTACTCGGGGTACAACAGCGTAGGGTCCGTGTCTTCACGTTTCGCGAGGCTGCGTCGCGTCCGTGCAGCTTGCACCTAAAATTCTGTCAGATTCAAGTGCTCACCTGCCGGCGGTATTTGTCTCGCGTTGATGCTTCATGTCCGTTGTCAACCGAGAAGGCTCCGTTTGGCTGTGAAAGCATTTTATGCATTTTGCAGTAGAAAATGCAACATTGGACGAGGTACAAAGTGGAGAGATACACCACAACAACGTCCATGCCACGCACAAAAAGAGATACGTACCTGCTCTTCTCTCTCCACCGCATTTCTCGGCGAGAGTTTGAGCGCAGAAACAGCCTGAAGGCCGCCCAGGACCGCTGCGACAGCAATTGAAAAGCGCATGATACCGATGGAACGATGCGTACTCGTTAGCTACGGGCGCACAAGAGGCAGCACGTACCTATATATCTACCTCAGCACGCAGGGACACGGAAGTATGACGACGGTGATAGCTACCCTGTCAGCCCATATCATAGACGCGAGAACGACCATGTTTAGGGAAGGTGGATAAAGTAGTGCGCCTGTGCTAGCGCAATGACGATGCTCGAAGAAGCAGGAGATAGGGTGATCGGCACTTGCGGAACCGTTGACAGTAGCAGACAGCAAGCTTTTCGGCTTGGATGCTTGGTTAAAACGCTCATGGCGTTATGTAGGATGCGATTGACTGTCTTGCGCACTGAGTTGTACGCTGGAAGCTGTATCGTCTGCTGAGCATGACGCGGTCAAGACTTCCAAGGATGTGTCCTGGTGTCGCGAGGTTGGCACGTTGGATGAGGCGGCCCCGCCGCCTTGCCATCCGCCAAAGTGCTCTCAGTGGCCAATCGGCTATACTAGGACGCTTCCATCTCCGCACCATAACAATAACTTTGTGCACGTACGTTTGTTTTTGGAAATGCGACCATCACCTAAGGTATCTCTTTGGGCAGCAGTATCCGAGTCATCGAAATCGGTAGAGCTACTTAGGCACTGGACGTGACGGTTCGACACAGATTCTTTCGGTGAAATCATAAATCACACTCGCATATATACAGACCTCCTACATATCCGACGTCATATACCAGACACTAATCGCAATCTTCCTACTTTGTGACCTCAATGTGCGACACCGAGACGTCCTTCTCTCCACCAGAGACACCCTTCTCCTTGACGTCCATCAAGGCAGCCTCCCCGACATCAACCGCATCATCGCCGTCGAAGAACCTCGCAATCTCCTCCATGGGCGTGTACCTTGTTTCCACGATGCAGAAGTAGATGACGCCGATCTCGAAAGCGAGGAAAACACAATAGCAGATGTAGTACTTCCATGCGAGTGCCTCGAGCGCAATACCATTCACGAACTGATTGAAGAAAAGAGCAGCTGTAACGCAGAAGTTGAGCCACGTGAAACCCTTGGCACGCAGACCATAAGGCAAGATTTCGGTGGTATAGCCGGCCATGATACCTGACTTGATATCGTAGAAAATGCCGTAGAAGAACTGGATGTCAAGGTCAGTATAGCCACTTGTGCATTGAAGAATGGCAGGCGAAACTTACAATACTAACGATAAATCCTTTACCAAGAGGGGCCCGAGGCGCAATGTCATACCTGGCGGAAATGATGGTGAAGATATTGAACATGACAAAGGTTCCGATGGTGGAAATACTGAATGGAGTGCCAAAAGTCAGTGCGTGTGTCACATGCAGTTGACACAGCGATACTTACAGATATATTGGACGGCGACCGAGCTTGTCAACCAAGAAGGCGAAAAGGAAGTTCTCGCACAGCGCCAACGTTTTCATACCACCATTGATACCAAGTTGTGTCTGAGGGTCAGTCAAGCCAACGTTATCCTAAGATGACGATGTACAAAGTCAGTGTATACCTCAAACGCTGTTCGTACACGAGGCTTCTTACCATAACATAT